TTATGTAATAATATATTTTGCTCTTTTCATTTTTAAGACTTCATACGAGTATACACTGCATTTTGATCATATCAATACATGTGATTTGTCTACCTCCTCCCAGGAACTCCCACCCCACCTCCTCCCAACTTCATGTTCTCTTTCCACAGCATATAGTCTGAGTCCAACACCAGAATATTAAATCCCAAGTGATACATGTTTGTGCAAGCTTCTTTTTAGACACCCTTAGTGTTGTTTGTTAGTCATCGCTCTCTCACCCCATCCTCTTCCTTATTCTCCCAAACCTTTCCTAACTTCATCTACTTTCTAGCCACCTCATTATCTTCTCTTCCTCTTTATAGCACTGAGCCAGAGTAGATTTATCATTTTTGTAAAAATCAATATTATAGTTTAAGCATGTATATTACTTATGAGAAAATTGATTATAACCAAGGCAAAATAATTTGTTCAGAAGCCAATAAACAGCATAACCATTATCCAGCTATCAAGCTGTTAAACTCATAACACATATTCTTTCTATTATGTCTTTCTGAAAGGAACCAGACCATAGGTATAGCTTTACATATCAAATTACTGTACTCTATTTAGATAGATAAAGATAAAATTGTTTCTAGTATTCATTTACTATTTGTGCTTTGTCTATTTTTTCTAGCTGGGCATAAAAGTAGAATTTTAAGACCTCAAGCTGCTATTGACCGTTTCATGGAGGAAACACAGCAATTAATGGATACTCACATTTTAGCTAGTTTTAGTTTTGAAACTGATATGCACAACATATTTCATATAAATTTAGCAGTGTTTAGAACTGGAACATCTGACTTTCCCTTGAATCTGAAAATCATTTTAATAGAGAATTTTTCCATAATTTGAAAAACTATGTTCTTTCAAAAATATCAGAGAAGAATTTAATCCAAATATTTCTAGTTCATATAGACTCAAATGCATAAAACATGGTATGGGCAGTGGTGGGTGGATAGTCCTAGGGGACCCTTTTCCCATTAATACAATGTTTGATGGAGTACAGTGTAGATTAATTACTTGGAATACTCAGTATTAATTTAAAATTTAGGAGCCTTGACCAGAAGTCATACAGGAAATCTGAGGAGGAAGAAAAAATAGAATGAAAAAGTTGAAAAAGAAAGAGTGGAAATGAGGAAAGAAATGACATAGGGATATTGTGCTGGTTTTTGAGGATAATTGATCTTTTCTTAGGGAGCTAGGTTACCAAATACTGATCCATCAAAGTCACTCAGAGACAGAGGGTGAGTTTTAGAGAGAAGTTTATTATCAATTCACATGTGAAAGATTAATAGAGAAGGAAAGAGAGAGAGACAGAGAGGAAGAGAGAACTCCCACAGCAAGGGGATCCCAGGAAATAGGTAACACTGAGATGGCTACTGAGGAGGTAATAAGGCTGTACTTGATGGAGGAGAGGGATGGGGAACAATAAAGTCCTTAGTATGGTATCTAGACAAAGGACAATTCTTTAGGGGGAAAGAGAATTTTTTCTTCAAACAAAAGCAAAGACAAACAAAAGCACAGATCTTCCTTCTGGGTTTGTTGACCTTTGACCATGAAGGAACCAGAAATATTTTGACTCATACATTTCTGGGTATCTCTGGCCTCTAGCAAAGATGAGACTACAAGGACTTTTCAACTATTAGCCAAGAAATAACCTAGTCACTTCCCATTGGGGTCCTTTGCTCACATGGCTAATGTCTACCTTCTGTTTCAGTCAGTGTGGATGAGGAAACTATTACTGATCTTGAGCTAATAGTTTTATGCTATTTTTAAGTTTTGAATATACATCAGCATGTCTTAAACTTTTTAATCATGTTACTTTACATTTCTTCCTAGCTCTGAACTCAGCGTCAGGAATCCTATTTGTAAATGGTTTATCTAGAGTGCCTAAGGTGATGCAGGTATTTGGAAGCCTTTGAAGCAGTTTGGATCATCATAAATGGTGGCAGAACTGCCATTCCCTTGCCTACTGCAGTGTTGCTTCTCTCATTCTATGGTTTTCAGACGCTCCATGCCAGACTAACTCTAGGATTTTCTCTAAAACACAATATGGCCAGGTCCCATGCCCAGAGAATCTAATTCACTGAGGTATAAAATGGAAGCAAATAATTTGTATCTCTCTCAAGTCCCCTGGTGATGTTGATTCCACAGGTCTGATGATCACTTTTGATAGCTTTTTTGGTTGAACCCATCATCTAGGAGTTAAGCCTTGTGTAGGAGGCCTGTTTCAGCCACTGCTCATGTCTTGTGTATGAGGTCTCAAATTTGGTGCTTAAGGGGGGACATTTAAGCAGGATGCCTTTTTGAAAAAGATATTTTTATCAGGGGAGTTAACACCACAGATTAAACGTAGACAACAGCATGGTGTGTGCTCTGGGGAGAATTCAAGTGGGATTTGATTCCCTTCCATAGAGGGAGATCAGAGTCTGTCCATATAACTGATGAATGGTACACACTTCTAGTCAGGTCAAATCCCCGAGGGAACACACAGGAAGGAGATAAAAATTTGGCCTTTTAGTTCATGTGTGTTCATCATGGTAAACTTCCTTTGAGGAAGAGAGAGAATTGCAGGTTCACAGGAACTATCAGTAGCAGGCCTTACCATGTCCCTGTAGTGGTAAAAATAACAAAATTAACTACGAGGATGGAAAAAAATGCTGAAGGTGAGTTTGGTCTGAGTATCCTCTGGCCCAAACCTAATATTCCATGTATTAGAACTAAGAAGAGGAGCCATCATTTGGAATACAAGTCTAATTCTTCTTTACTTTCGTTGGCTTTTCCACACCAGAAGAATGAATTCCCCTTTCTCCTGTCTCTTTCCTGTCACCACTCTACTCCTTCCCACTTTGATCCTGGGTCTGGATTCCCTAGACAATGGTACCCACGCTTCTTCCCATGTGTTTATGCTTCCACACTCACGACACTAAACAGAGAACAATACCTTGGCCTTTTACAAATGGACGAGGGAATTGTAATTTATCCTTTCATTTCCGGAAGAGTTTCAGGAAATTCAACTGAGAGTAAGAAAGATAAGAATTTTAGCCCTGAAATGACTCTGCTTTTTGATTACAGAAATACAAGGAGGCCTACTGGGACCTAGAGATAATCTGTGTTGGTTATTGAACCGCACCTGCTCTGGCTTGTGCCACGCAAGAAAACGTTAAAGGGACTTTGTTCCTGTAAACCTGCAATTCTCTCTTTTCCTCAAAGGAAGTTCACCAGTCCCAGGGAAGGTGTGATCCTAAGTAACCTAGGGCTGAAAGTAGCACATCCTTCTTGATGGGCACACATTAACTAAAAGGCATTTTTTTTTTTACCTCCTTCCTGCTTGTTCCCTCCAGGATTTAACCTGGCTATAATTGTGTACTGTTCATTAGCTGTGTGAACAGGACCTGCAGGTGCTTTCTCAGAGTCTAACACATCTTCAGTACAAAATAATTCTTTAAATGGGTTGGGTCTTCAGGTGATTTCATGAGGGATGTTACCCTAGTGGGAGAACTGAATTTTAAACTCTATTTTTTATTGAATATTCCTATAGGATGAAGTTCTGTAGACTTCTGAAGAACTTAACTTACTGAAAAACTTGACTGCTAATCTTAGTTTATATTATCCTTTAAACAACAATTTTATTTATTCAAATTATAGAGTATAAAACTGTTAGAAATATGTTTGAAATTCCCTAAAGTTGAAAACTCTGAGAGTACTCACATACTACCTTATTGTCCCCGAATCTCAGTCTGTAACATAAAGGAACAAAACTCTGTGAGTCAGGAAGTTATGACCATGGATATCATAGTCATTTATTTCTCTTCAGTATCTCTCAATAAAGAAATATTTGGATGAATGACAGGAAGTATTGTGAACTGTGTGCCTGCAAGACATATTTCACACATTTCTTTTTGGAGTTTGTTATTTTATCGCTAAGTCAACATCCTTTCTATTTTATTAAGGAAAGATCATTAAGCATTTCAAAATCATAAACATTTCACATTAAAAACTCCTGGTATGTTAGTGGTAAAGTAGTTATGATTGGACATAAATCTAACATTAGACTGAGTTTCTTGCCATGTCTATCATCTGCAATTTAGGATACATGCCTTTGCTTTTCTTCCCTATAGGCCCATCAGCTAGAGAGGAGAATTCTTCTTTGTCTTATGCAATGCTCCTTCGTCTCCCAGGTCACAAATCATAGAAAAGCAATATTTTTTTATTCTGATGGGGATTCAGCAGAAATATCCTCAAGGTACTTTTGCCAAATGCATTAAACTGATCTCCTGAAGCCTTCCAAAAAATATAACATGGATATGTAGTCAATGTCTTCTAGATTCTGAGTGTATTTTTTATGAGTAATATGGTATTTGATCAACTCAGCAGTTTCCCCGTTTTTAAAATATAAAAACTGTAACTTAGGAACATGAAGAAACTCAGAAGAATGAGGTTGGGAGAACTAAAGGGCTCTATGCCCCAAAGATGGACCACTGCACTACAATGCAGTTGGGTCTTCTGATAGAGCTTAGCTCTGAGATGCTGATGGACCAGCACGGAGAGCAAGGATGTTATCCCAAGAAGCACAGAGTCAGCTCTGGTGCATAGCACTGATTTTCAGATCTTCTGCCTCGTTCCTCCTCCTTTCCCTCTTTCTTTTCTTAAGTAAGGTCTCCACTGGGAAGCTTAGCTGCTAATTATGGACAAATTTCTTCAGCTTCCACGCTGCAAGGATATTATTAAGGTAGAGTGTCACCTGTCACTTACTGAGCCAATTATGTGTCATGTACAGTACAATTTCAACATATTGAGAGGGCAGTTTGTCATTGACAATCAAAAAGAGAGAGCTATGGTCTTCTCTAAGCCCAGATAGAGGGAACCTAGATTTCCTCATTTGTTAACAATAAAATGGGCTGTGCTCTAAACAAAACTGCTGAAACACATATTAAGTCCCACCCCAAAAAAGAGGGTGCTGTGGGTTATTATGTCAATACCTTGTTTTCCAGGTGGTATCAGGGACAAGCAGTGAGCACTCCTTTCAGTTGGCATCCTGGAGAATAATTAATAAATAGATAATTAAGAGATAGACAGACAGACAGACAGACAGATATTTAGATGATAGAGCGCAACTACTATTAAGGTGACCACATCTGCCCCAGAAGCAATTTTTTCATCTATTAGGCTGGATTTGGGGATTAACTGTCATGTAAAAGCATTCATCTCTTCTATAGTTTATAAATAAGAGGCTAGATTTAGATTCTTTCTGATTTTTTTTTGAGTTAGATTTTGTATGAAAAATCCTGAACAAACTTAAACAAATCATAATGTCTCCCTTCTGAACTTTCACCTCACTTCTCTAATCTTCAAGGACGCCTGATATTGGTGTAGAGATGAATTGGCTTGTCATGAACCACCTGCACTCAGTCTGAGTTGAGTGAGTGGGTCAGAGATATCCTTGAACTTCACTGAGCCCAGGTTGGCCCTTGCACCACTGGGCCTTCTTCCATACCACTGTACTTCTTTACACTTCATGGTCGTGGTCAGGTGCCTCTCTTTCTTCTGTACCTTTATCCCACTTGGAGCGGTGTGAAGGCCAGCTACTAGGACTGGTTTTCAGTCACCCAGTGGTTAGGTGAGTGTCTGCAGACTCCTTCGCTGTCACTTACCATTCCTTTGTGTGTATCCTGCTGTAGGACAGCCCCTCCAACTTAAACGGACCTCACTGTGTGAAGAAAGGGAACTTTCTGGGAGTGTGGAAAGTTGCTGATCTGGAGACATTGCCTTGTAACATAATATGAGAATATAACAGGTTCTTTATCATTAATAAAAAAGACTTACTATACACAGTGGCAGTTAGGGATTGTGGCCAGGAAGAGAGGGTGGGTGCAGCAAGTAAGAAAAGCAGCAAAGGTGAACTCCGGAGTTAGCATGCAGGGTTGTCTGGAAAGTCAACCAAACACCACCGGAGTCTAGGTTTGCGCCATCCTGAATGCACTGGATCTCCTCTGATAAAAGCTGCTAGGCAAGAACAATGTGAATCCTCTTTCCCAAGCACCCGTTATGATCATACAGCTCCTAGCAGTGGAAAATAGCTGATATTTGCACTTACCTCTCAATTTGCTTTCTCTTGGTTGACTGTTTCGTCATTTTTGACTTTTTTAGTTCTTCATTCTTATTGTGTTCATTATTAATGTGTGTGCCTTTCTGTGTGTCTGCCTGCATGTGTATGTGCATTTGTGTATGTGTGTGTGTCTTGTGCACTGAAAAACACATGCCTTTGGAGGTCAGAGGATAACTTCTGTGTGCATTTGTGTGTGTGTGTGTGTGTGTGTGTGTGTGTGTGTCTATGCGCACTGACAAATGCATGCTTTTGGAGGGCCGAGGTTAACTTCTGAAAGTCAGTTCTCTTTCTTCACCTGGGATCTCTAAGACTGTACTCAGGTTGGCAGATTTACAAAGCAAAACAGTTTTACCCATTAAGCTGTATCACTGACCCTCTTTTGTTTTGTTTATTTGGTTTGGTTGGGTGAATATTTTTTGTGTCTTAGTTTTGTTTGAGATGTGGTCTCACACTGTATACTGAGCTGTCCTAGAGCTCACTACATGACTCATACAATCCTTTGGTCTCAGCTTTCCAAGTGCTGCCACTACAGGCATGAGCCACCACAAACCACAGCTGGGTCAATAGTCCCTCCCCTTTCCAGTTGCCCAGGTGAAAACATGGGTCTCTTTGCTAGCACCTGTACAGGTAAAATGGAAACAACTAGCGATGTGGGGCCAAGATAACAAGCAGATGCCTGCCCCAGATATAGCACCAGAACTGAGGTCATTGTTGTGGCATCCTGGTGGTCAGTCAACACTTGACAAGATAAATTAGGAGGTCATGCAATTTGCATGTCAGCCAGTCATCAAGACCAATTCCTAATGTGTGCAGATGGTATTTCATACTGGCTGTCCTTGCTGGGTGTGGAAGGTGAGAGTTTTGAAAATTGTAATTGGCAATCCAATCCTTTGTTGGCCACATGATGCCGGGATGGCTTTGGAAAAATGCGGTACAGGTAAAGAGATCTAGGTTTCTGGGATAACTAGGAAAAGCATGGAGATAAACAGTTTAGATTTCTCCATAGATTGAATCGTTGAAGATTCTAAAGGAAGTGAGGATACAACTAAAACAACATTAACCAAGGTGGTAAAATGTTGGAGCCATGTGGGTCCAACACAGATAATTATTTTCCCTAACTGGGACTGCTATGGAGTCGCGAGGTCATCATGGAAGGGCATCTCAGGGTCTTTTCTCCTGACCATCTCCCAAAGATCTCCCATGTTTATTATTCAAACAGTTTATATACCATCACCTCAATTGAGTGGGAAAATACATTAGGCTGTCTGCTAGGTAACCAGGTGAATGGCTTTTAGTCACGTCCACATTCTACCTGTATGCTAGCTGTCACGTAGGCCTGAATTAGCATCGCTATAAGATAGCCTCCAAATATCTTGACCATTATTAGGCAGAGACAGCTTGTCTGCAGAGCTACGTGACCCCCTCAGATGGGGCCTATGGCTTTATCACCTGGCTGCCACACCGTACAGAAATGTGGGCCTACAGTAAAGCAAAGACATGATTAACAGTTAAGAGGTCACCATACTTGCCTTGAGTAGTTGATTTGGGGATTTCTGATTTTGAAAAATTCTTACTGAATTTTTTGTAAACGCTAATAAGATGCAGGCTTAAAGACAGTTTTGTCACCCCTTGACCTGTTGGACATTATCATTTAAAGAATATGTTTGGGGGACTGTGGAGACATTGTGTTGACTGAGGTTTTTGTCCTGCCTGGTTCCTGCAGTCGTTAAGTCCCAAAGAAATCACACAGAGGTCTACATTAGTTATAAACAGATTGGCCCATTAGCTTAGGCTTCTTATTTACTAATTCTTATAATTTACATTAGCAATTCTGGTCTGAGTTAGCCATGTCATTTGGTACTTTTTTTGGCGAGGCAGTCACATTTTGCTTCTTTTGTGGCTGGGTTCCAACTCCCTTTAGTGCTTCCCTCTTCCCAGAATTCTCATTGCCCTGCCTCTACTTCCTGCCTGGTCACCCTGCCTATACTTCCTGCCTGGCCAATCACCATTTATTTAAAATATAAGTGACAGGGTACAGGCTGTTGTCCCACAGCAACATGGCAAGGGTAGAGTGCTGCTCCCCAAGCAAGAAGACCTGAGCTCTCAGCCTAATATTCACTATGTAGAAACAATGTAGGTTTTCAACCCTAGCTCTGGGTTACAGTCAGAAAGATTTCCAAGGCTTGCTAGTCAACCAGTGTAGCTGAAACAGGGAACTCCAAGGTCAACAAGAAACCTTGTCTCAAGGTAATAGTGAACACAAGGAAGTTTAGGCTATTGGGTATAGGCATTAACACACACACACCATATGTTAGAAAATATATTTGGTTTGGGGCAATAAAAAAATCAGGTGGCTAAACATGCATATATGAGAAGAGGGAAAGTAACAGATTTGATGACCCACATAAGCATGCAGACATGACTGTAATATATCCAATGTTTGTTCAAGCGAGGAACACATATTTTTAGATATAAGCATGTATCTACCGTGTGTCACAACTACTTAGCACCAAATCCTATGTTCTTGCAAAGGAACACAGTAAGATAAATGAACAATATATTTTCTTCAACAGTTTACATAGATGTTACAAATTCCTTTTTTCCATGGGATTTCTTCATTCATAATTTATATATTTTCCAGATCATGACACCAGTAGGATCCATGAAAGGAGTCCTGTGAGAACCACAAGATCATTTCAGCTCCTACAAAATGCAGAAGCAGCCTGCTTGCTGAAGGATCTCAGGCAGATGGATCATATTAACATCTGTGTACTACGTCTTGCACTGGCTACCAGGGTGTTTCTGGATGCTGTTCAAAGGACTGACTTTGATCTATGGTGCTGTGTACATTTTAAGTCAGAAACTATTTATCCAAAAAAATCACCCACGGTGGGCAAGATGAAACAGGGCCATTGTTGAAGCTGCTCACACCATAATTTTAAGTTAGTGTCTTTATCATTCGTATCTACTAATTCACTATCACTTAGGAAATTCAGTCCCACTTTCTCTCCACTCCTGACTGGAAGGCCTCATAGAGAAGAAAAAGAACTCTTCTATAGCATGGTATGTAAACACTATAGGAGAAAGCTAAACACATTAGTATATTCAATTCTTAATTAGCACCTTCTACATCTCACTTAAAATACATAACTTTAAAAAATTAAAAGAACATCTTTCTTAATCTCAGTTATTTTGTATGTGTAAAGATTTATTATTTTTACCTTAGATTCTAAAGTTTAGAAGTAATCAAAGTAATTAATTCATGGTAGGCTCTTCTCTCCCCCCCCCCAAGAAAAACAGGAATATTCTAAGCAAATAAAGTCAAAAGGACAAAAAGACTTGAAATTACCTCTCATTCTTCCATCCAAGTTTTCTCTGATTTTATACTGAATTTAATTTCAATGGAAGGATATGTGCCTTTTATTAACTAAATAAATGTGTGCTCATTTATCTCTGCATTCATTAAGTAAAACACAATGCTAGGGGATAAAGCATTTTTTAATACTTAGCACATAGTTCAAATGCAAGGAAGATGTATAAATGATTAAAAGCAGTGAGTACAATAGTTCAGTATCATAATTCTAAAATTTGAAGAATAGTTTTCTATTTTGTTTATTTTTTCTTCCCTTACCTCCCTCCAAGCCCTTACACATTCCCCTCCTTGCTCACTTTCAAATGCACGGCCTCTTTTTTCATCATTTTTTATTGCATACATCTACGTATATACAGATATATTCATAACTATATCCCATTGAGTCCACATAATGTTACTTTTACATATGATTTCAGGGCTACATAAAGGACTTAAAAGCTAATGGGTATTGAGTGCATCAAGATAGAACTCATTACTTAAGATAGCTACTTAAGCTTGATGTTGAAGAATAACTCAGCTGTGCTAGACAGGTGGGTGACAGCAAGAGGAAATTATC